CCCTTGATGCCATTATTTGAATTTACAGTTATACACTCAAAATCTCCATAAACAACAAATGGACATTTTAATTTTGTATTGTATTTTTCAAATTCAATATAACTACCTTCTTTTGGTAATTTAAACTGTTGTCCATGTGTTGCCATACAACCAGTTTCATAATGTTTTGTTAATAAATCCTTTCTAGTAAAGGCATGAGAACAATAATGACAATAATGTTTTGGTTGGTCATTTTTGTTTGTTTGCCAGTTCATTAGACGACTTAGACTTTTAATAACTACATAATGATTATTATTATTGATTTCAATTTTCAAAAGGTTTATTTGATGTTTAGCATCTCTTGTTTTAGTTCTGTAATCAATTATAATTTTCTTTTCATTCAAAGTATCATCAATTTCATAAACATTGATTGAAACTAACTTACTATTATTTTCTTCAAACCTTTCAATATCTTTATTACCAGTTGGAAATTTAACACCTTCCCAGTTTAAGATATTGTCATTTAATTTGTTGTAATGGAACATTTCTTGGGAATTTGATTTATTAATTATATCAAACACTACACTTTGAACACTATATTTAAAACATTTGTTATCTTTGTTTTTGATATTAATACATGCCTTTTTTAGTTTAATCCATTCTGGTAAATCTATATAACTACCCGCCCTAGTTGGGTCATATTTGTCATAATGGATTGTTATTGATAATATTTTTTTAAATTGTAAATTAGATGCTGAACCTTCTAGTTTCTCTATGTTCAATAAAATCTCTTTGATTGATTTTTCAATTGCTTCATCCAAATCGGTTTCATTATATATGTTTGCCCTTGTTGCAGGTAAATTATAAAGTATCTCTGTATGTTTTATTACTCCATCATCATCATAATAATGATAAAATAAACCTTCTGCCCTTATATTCAGTTTCATTGCTCTATTAGTTTTCAAAAAGGTCAAAAGTCTATCTTTTTGGTGGTGTATCATTGATAGTGCCTTTTCACCTTGAAAATGTTTATTTACTAGTTTTATAGAATTAGCATAACTTTTGAAAGCTGATTGTTGGTCTGTTACTTGGAATTTATTTTTGATTGCATATTTTGTCATTGCATTTTTCATTCTTTGTTTTAGGTATGTTGAGCGCAATGTTTTTGTTGCATAACTATTATACTCATTAGTTCTTGCTTCTGATTTTAATTTCTTGTTCAAAACATTTGAGATGGGTTTTTCTTTGTTGTATCTAAATTTTCTACCATCTATAATTATTGATTTTAATTCCTTGTTTCCTCTTTTTGGAATTTCTGCTTTATCATTATTCAACAGATAATCTATAACATGTTTCATAATACTATACTATATAAATTTAATGTGTTTATTTCTTTAAGTGACTTTTTAGAAAAATATACTTAAAGATTTAAAACCTTAATATAATAAGAGGAAAATGAATGGTGATAAAATCAATAATTATATCAATAAAAAATGCTATGATTGTTGTCACTTCAAAAAAGAAAATATGGAATTGTATAAATTAAATTTACCTAATGAAATAGTGAATAATATTATTAATTATTCAATGGATGAAGAAGATTTATGTAAAATTTGTAGAAATTGGAGATATTATCAAGAATTAATCAGATGTCTGTTGGGAATAAAAAGAATTCGACATAGAAATGTAGAAGATGATATTTTAATATTTCTAACTGTAAATAAAATACCACCTTATGATTATGTTAAACAGTTTCTTAAAATTAGTAAGAAAAAATATGAAATGATGGATGATATATTATGGTTGTTGTGTTATAGTCAAGAGAAAGGAGAAGATGTTAAAGAAAATATCAAATTATTTATTGAAAGTAAAAAGTTTAATATTCAAAATACATTGAGAGATATTAATATTATTTTTAAAATGATGTATGAAAGAAGAAAGATTTGTCAATTAAATTATTATCCTGTACTGAAATTATAATCATACTATAATAATAACATGTAAAATCTTATATGTTATAATTATACTGTACTTATAGTTTGTAAAGATTGAAATATTTTATTTTTCCTTGATTTGGCTGACTCTTTCTTAGTCGTGGAAACGCCTTTAAAGAAATACGGTAGTTCTATGATAAGGATGGAAGCAGTGAAAAAGTGTTCAAAGTGTAAAAATGATAAGTCTAAGGAAAGTTTCAGTGGTGATAATATGCGATGTGATAAGTGTTTAAAAGCTCAAAGAGACTATCAAAATAGACATAGGGAGAGAATGAACGAGGAACAAAGAATTAGATATGAAAACGATGAGGAGTATAGAAAAAAGAAACTGGAAAGGACTTATAGGAGAAATAAATATATTGTTAGTTGTGATGTTTGCAATTGTTCAATAAGTCAAGGGCATTTTGGAAGACATCTTAAAACAACAAAGCATCAACATAATTTAGGAAAGATACAAGCTGAGGAACAATGATTGGTAAATTAGATAAGGTTAATAGATGATAATGATGTATTAACCTTATGTAATATTGAGGGGATTTATTGTAAATGAATAAGGTAATTTATTATAATGTGTCTATACTTGTTCAAAATAATTTTCAGGCGAGAAGTGCCATTTTATGTATTTTTCCCCCCCCCCCACCCATGTCGGCTGGACCCAAAATCCTGTCCGGCGGGCCTTGAAATTTTCGGGGTTCGTCGGCGTCCAGCTCCATGGGTCCATTTTTGTCGAAAATGTGCTGACAATTGCGAAAATCACTAAAAATTGCTTTTTTGTCCTGAAAAGCATGACCTCCTGGTGGCCAGGCCTGCCTGACGTGTCTGAGACTAGGCTCAGGGCCAGGCCTGTCAGCCCCACCCAGCCTCAGGCCCAAGCTTGTCTGAAACAGGCCTACCCCAAGTCATCCAGCAAGCCCAGCGCCCAGCCCAGGCCCTAGGCCGGTCAGGCTTGTCTAACGCCAACGACCCAGTCTCACGTGTCTGAAACTGGTCTCAAGCTATGCCAGCCGCCTCTCCTGGGGACAAGAAATTGCCGAGACGGATCTTCCCGCCTCCAGCCCGGTGAGCGCCTCTCCTTAAAAGACTTTAATTCCCAGGTCCGAGACGGATCTTCCCGCCTCCAGCCCGGTGAGCGCCTCTCCTGGGGACAAGAAATTGCCGAGACGGATCTTCCCGCCTCCAGCCCGGTGAGCGCCTCTCCTGGGGACAAGAAATTGCCGAGACGGATCTTCCCGCCTCCAGCCCGGTGAGCCCAGCCCCTCAGTCCGGCTGCCCAAGCAACTCAGCCCAGGCTGGCCAGGCCTTGACCTCCTGCTCGCGTCTGGCCCCAAGTCATCCAGCAGGCCCAGCCCCGTCTCAAAGTACGCCAGCCTGAGACTGGCCTCAGGCCCAGCCCAGCCAACTCGCCACCCAGCCTCAGGCACAAGTGTGTATGAAACAGGCCTTGCCCATCCAGCAACCCGCCCAAGCACAGCTCAGCCCAGCCCGCCCAGCCCAAGTTCCAGGCACAACCAGCAGCCTGGTCCGGCTGCCCGGCAGCCAGCAACCCACCCATGGCTTCGCAGCCTCGTGGCTGAGACTAGCTTCAGTCCCAGCCCAAAGCCTGCCCAGCCCAGGCCCCAGCGCATCTCAGGGCATGCCAGCCACTACCGGCCCCCAGCTCCCAGCCAGCAGGCTCAGCCCAGTGTGCCAAGGTCAGGTTTGTCTAACGTGTCTGAGACTGGCCTCAGGCCAACGACCAGTCTCACGTGTCTGAGACTGGTCTCAAGCTGTGCCAGCTACTCAGCAGCCCAGGCTGACCAGGCCCCTTCGGCGGAGTCTGAGACTGGTCTCAAGGTATGCCAGCCTGAGACTAGCCTCAGGCCCAGTCCCTCAGCCCGCCTGCTGGCGTGTCTTACGTGTCTGCGACTGGCCTCAGGCCCAGCCTAGCCAGCAACTCGCTACCCAGCCTCAGCCCATCCAGCGACCCGCCCAAGCACAGCTCAGCCCAGCCAGCCGAAGTTCCAGGCGCAACCAACACCATAATCCAGCTGCCCAGCACCACCCATGGCTTCGCAGCCTCGTGGCTGAGACTAGCTTCAGGCCCAGCCCAACCAGCAACCCGCCTAAGCCAACCCCACCCAAGCCCACCCGGTTTGAGACTCGCAGGCCTCAGCCTATCTAGCGCCGAGACTGGGCCTCACCAGCCTGGGCTCAACTAGCGTCTAGCCCAGCCCAGTCCGCCTGCTGGCCAGGCCTGTCTGACGTGTCTGAAACTGGCCTCAGGCCCAGCCCAGCCATAGCCCAGCCCCCTCAGTGCGGCTGCCCAGCCCGCCGTAAACTAGCTTCAGCTCAACCAACAACCCACGCAAGCAAGGTCCAGCCAAGCTGCCCGAGACTAGCTTCAGGCCCAGCGCAGGCTTATCTGATGTGTTGCCCGCCTCGGCCCAGCCTAGTTTGAGGGAAGGGTCAGGAACACCGAAATCCAGTGTTGGGAAGGTCCGAATACCTGAAGCTGGCTCCAGACAAGTCAGACAAGCCGGCCTCGCCTGGTTGGGCTGGGCCACAGGCTAGTCTCAGACGCGAAGCGTTTACAATTACACGCACAAGCAAACACACACGCGAACACACACACACACACACCACACACACACACACGCAGTGACTCACACTCACAATCACAATCACAATGACAATCTCACACACACACAATCACACGCACGCGATCACATGCAAGCACGCACGCGCACGCGCACGCGCACACGCAAACGCGCACGCCCACGCGCACGCCCAGGCCCACACACACACCCATAAATACGCTCAGAGAGTGAGAGAGAGAGAGAGAGAGTATCTCACGCACACACACACAGAGAGAGACAAGCACACAAAGACACCACCCAGACACACACACAGACACAGACACACACACACACACAGAGAGACAAGCACACAAAGACACCACCCAGACACACACACACACACACAAAGACACGGACATACAAACACACAGACACATAGCATTTTCCAGAGCCATGAGCCCGGGTCCCCCGCGTTGTTCCGGGTACTCACCACGTAGTGTTCCCCTACATGCTTCATCTCGACAAGGCCGCCGTTGAAGTAGGCGGAGGCGCCATTCAGCTGCTTGCAGTTTGTCCTTAGCGCTGCCCCTTTCACCGTCCTTCGTTGTCCCTGCACATAGCAAAACGCTCACTTTGTGGCAAGGCAACTTTGCGCGGGGGATGGCGCCAACCTCCACTAGTGTTTGCTTGGTAAATGGGCCAGTGGAATTCGTCTATGTTCAACTACATTCTGACCTAAACATGACATCTGTGCCAACATGCATCCCTCAGCTGTTCACAATGAAGCGCTGACTAAGCCGAGTTTCCTGGATTCATCCAAGGAAACCACTACGGAAGAGGAACAAAACGCATTCACCCATCGGCAGAAATCCGTGAAAAAACGGGCCCCCTGTAAACATCACGCCATTCAAAAAGACTCGAAAAGACGTGATGCCGTTGATCAAGTCCGCAGCTGGACAAGTTGGGGCTCCTGTTTGGCTGGTCACAACGAATAGTAAAGTTATCCGAGGTTTGCTGATTCAACATGTCGGAAAACTACAGCAGTTCAAAAAACAGAGGCCATTTGACAAGGGAACAGATAGGCAGCCTTGCATGGTCATGTGCAAAGTAGACACGATTGGCTTTTGTGGGACATTAAGTGTGCAGCCCCCCATGCAATGAGTGGGTTACATTACAAATTGATTCTGGTTGACAAGTTGAGGCACATGAATTGGCATTCCCTCAAGAATTGACCATAGACTGCTAGTTGATCGAAACTCAGATATTAGCAGGTGGGTTCCCGTGCTTCACCCTCCGAGCTGCTCTGAGTTCTGGTCGTTGTCTTCGGGGTCGCAGGTGACGATACTGTCCTGGGACATTGGGGAAGAGCCGCCTTGGGCTCCTTCTCTAGGGCCCCACAAAATGGTGGCTTTCCTTTTGGTGTTCCTTTAAAACCAAAAGGGGCACCCTTCCCTTTGTGCGAGAATCGCCAGGCAGCCTGCTCACTCATTTGCATGGGCAACTTTCCTTGTGATATCTTTGGGTCACTATGACCAGCTTAAAGCTTTGGGGAATCCCTACCCTATCACTTCACGGATTCTATTGGCACCACGAAAGCAGAAAAGCACCACCTATCACGGGGGAACTCCCTGGTCCTGGTCGAGGTACGCAAACTTCTCCACTAAGCCCCGCCCCGCCTGGCAAGAGAGGATGCCGCCGTCATACTATGTGTTGCCATCTTCACGATTCTGTCAGGCAACTTGAAGGGCTGATGGAAGTTCAGCTCAAGTTGGTCCTGGTAAGTATACACATAAACTACTTGGGGCCCTGTTGCGCGCGATCTTCCTAATACAGCTGAAGAAGCAGGGTGGGCCAGCAATGCACAAGGATTCATCTGATGGCCAAGAGCTAGCAGGATCTGCACTGGAATGAACACCACATCTCCAAAGTTAAGAGTCTCCCGCCCTAGCTGGAGTGAACTGATTGGCTCTTTGCTCGTTGCGCAGTAGGAGCCATGGACATGGCAAGAGCTGATTGTCATCTCAGTCTTTGTCAATGCCTCATCGTTAGGGTTGACGGTAGCGTCGAAGAGCAAGGTGTGCCTCGGATGCATGCAAGCCACAGGCGGATAAGCATTGGTTTGGGTTCACTCCAAGTTACCCAAGCCAACCCGCTCCGTTGGGGAGCGACCAGGAACGAGGGCTTACTTATACTATGTATACCTGAGTCTTCCAGGTTTGCACCCTGCTGCCGTTTGCTAAGAAGGTACAACATTCCTTCCTTTGGTCGGAAAATCACAGCACAAGTGCCGTCTCCAATTTCGAGGGACACATGTTCGGGGAAGGTCGCCTTTATTGGATTGTCCCAGAAGCGTAAGACCGTGAAAAGCTCATGGAGACTCCTCCACATCAGATGGTCTTTAGGGCGCGCGCACCTGTGTGTGTGTGTGAACCCAGGAACAGGTGGAAATGCTTGGCAATGATTCGAGAACCATTTTCCACAATCCAGCATGGCAGACAATTCCAACCTGCAAACCCGGCTTGCGGAGTGGTGTACTACTGGGAGTTTAGTTGGGTACCCTTCGGTAACCATTTCCGTCGGAGCCAGGTACGGAACCTGCTCTCGTGGGCGCAAGGTCGCCACCAGGCTTCGGGTTAACTGACCAAAGTGTGCTATCATGGATGTCTTGTTGCTTAGTGGGGAAACGGCCAATTCCTCCAAGGTCACTCTGCAAATGAACATGGGAGCAACCACACTAGGGCCTCCAGTAGAGAGGATAGAATAAGGATACCCTTTTTCTGTAGTCTATTTTTTGTAGGGGAACCCTCCCCCAAAAAAGGGGTGAGAAAGGACACTACTGGAGGAGCAACTATATAAACCCAAGGATTGTGCTGCTGAGCGAGTCTAAGGCGGATGGCCGGCTCCCGTTCAGCCACCCTTCAACCCACCGTTCGGGTTGCCAGAAAAAGAGCAAAGGCTGTTCTTTTGTTAAGGGTACCTTTTTTGGGCTGGGATTGAAAGGAAGCCAACGAGAAGCACGATTTGGGGGTCCCCGCTATTTGGACACATGGCAGCGCGCGCGCTGTTTTGAGGCTTGGTGCCCTTCTTGGGAAGGGAAAATCAAAGGGAACCCCACCATCTTGGAGGCCACTGCCTGGCTGAGGCACTTTTCGATGGGCATTGGGATCGTCTCATCTCTGCTCTGCATCTGAACCAGGTTGGATCGGTCCGTGCCCGCACGGCCGTTGCCTCGCAGGCAGGGAGCGGTCTCAAAAATATACCCATCCCGCGATGGAACCTGGCAGTAAGATGTGGGACCACTCCTTTCCTTTCGGTGGACCTCCCTGTCCACTTCCATAAATTTGGGAAAAGGGTACCCTTTTGTGTGGAAAGCTTGCGTATTACAAAACCCTGCTGTGAGCTTCCATGAATGAACTCAATTCCTGGAAAGAAAGAGCGGAGTCCAGTCAAACCAACGCGTCCCAATAGAATCCGACATGTTCTTTGGAATCAACAGGTGCTGAGGGTCTATCTGTGTGACACATCTGCACACTTGATCAACCTTACACATGGCACCAACCCATCCAAACTTGCGTTATTGCCTATGCTGCAAAACATGATTCGCCTGCATTGTCCCAGGGCTCGGCCAAGCACGTGACAATACGTCCAACATTGATTTTATTGCCTTGGTTTATCTCATGGGCTACCTCAAGCCAACCAATCATTCCTGGACGCAATGCCGATTGAACTTCAGCATCGAATCTCAACACACAGATCCTCTATCGAAACAAGGGGGTTCTGGCCGAGGCTGATCAAAAGGGACAGGCTGTTGCAATCTGGTTCCAACTGTCTCTTTCAGAGGGTTTTCGTGATGCATGGTCTAGCTCCCATGCTTAGGCTATTGGGGCTCGCCTTTGATATCACACAGCGAGTTCCTATGCTCGCAGCTTCACCACCATGACAAATACTCGGAACTTCCGAGCAATGTAAGCAATTGACTATTGGTCAATCAGTGGGACCCACATATCAACGTCATGTTTTGTTGGGTTGGTCCTTTCGAGCGTGTTTGAATCCGCCTTACTCCAGGTCTGGAACAGGGGAAAGTCTTTTTTGAGGGCCCCAGAAGTGGTACAGCCTCCCATTTCAAGACAACCACAACATGCGTTTCCCAGAATCGGATGAATGCTGGGATAAACCGATCACCGATCGGTGCAGGTCTCTGTCCATCCACTATCCTCAAAAGTGTTGATCCAGAATCAACATTCCCCCAACCGAAACTCGGCTCTGGCCCACTCCGAGTAAGCCACGGTCAAAATGACTTTTTGTCCCCCCCTGGTTTTTGCGAGAGATTTGGATTTCGTTCCCCTTTCTCCCTCCCAAATTGAACCATATAGACTGGACATTTGATTGATTCCACCCTCATGTATATCACAAATAAAAACACGCCTCTCAAACGAACCACATTCCCTTCTCCCTCGCAGATGAACCATAACCATATTATCTCGCTTCCACAGCGGATTGGCTAAAAAAGGAACTTGTGCTTACCACTAAAATTGCAATTCCACAAGCCAAGTATTCGGACTATTTCTAAAAACAACTAAGATATAGTTGGTCCAAAATGTTTAGTAATAAAAACAGATGAAGACACATGATGCACGATTGGAATGAAGATACCGCAAGCACCATCCTGATACGTTTGTCTAATTAAACAATAAAATGCTAAAATAGGCAATAATAACTGGTGTTTCATGTAAACCGAATAGTGGTCCAGAAATAGTTTAAATAACATAGTAATTCCCGGCCCAATAAACAACAAGATTCCACACATAATTAAGGTTCAGAGGACAATGATGTGATTGTAAATGTGACTTCGGTAGTCACACACACACAACAAACTTTCAACATGAACACAATAGACATATAATAAGGGAAGGAGACAAGATTAAAACAAGAAAAAGGAGATAAAAAAACGAAGCCATTAAATAATAGGTAAATGCCCAAGATACGGATAACAAGATACCTGAGAATGATTCACTGTCTTTTTTCTCTCTATTTACTATTGCGAATTCTCTGTTTATCCATCCTCATCAGTTTCCTCTCTTTTTCATTTCCTACATTTGAAACAAACACCCAAACAGCATGAAGTTCACGTTAAGAAGTGCGATATTCACAGACCACTCATTTGCCCAGCTGCCTGCGTTGCCGTTGTTGTTGGCATCGGAGCCCGCCCATTGGAAGTGCAGCAATGTGCCCACCTCCACCGACAGATCCGCGGGCACAAAGTCCTCAGAAGCCAAGGGTTGCGTAGAGCAAAGGGGGGGGGGTTGCCGATCTGTCCTAGGTTTCATGGAGCGAAAAAAAACAGTTTGTCCAAAAAGTCTCGCGATTGAGGCACACCAAAGACGAGCCGCGAAAGATACATCCGGAAACCACCATTGGTCTGATTGGTCTGCCCACATGTAAGGGACCCGGACAAAGGGCTCCTGTGTGCGCGTGGCAGTTGATTCCCCTCCACAAGAAGTGAGAGAAGGGTGTCGCCGGAGGACTGTGATCAGGCAACTGATTGGTGCTCTTAGGGAGCCTGTTTACCTACACTCAGAACGCGACGTGTTGCTCTTGAAGCACCCGTGGGTCTTCCTACCTGTAAAACATATTGACGATAACATGTTTCACTTCAAAGGGAGAAGTTTTTGTTTTTCGCCAAGGTATGTGTAAAAACTAGGGAGTCCAACCAGTGAAAAGGGGGACATCCGCGATGGCTTTTCCCTTTGTTTTGCCCAACCCAAAGCGCGCAGCTTGATTCTTGTCCTGCAACCAAATGTCCCCTCTTCCCTTGACCTCCGATTGGTGCCAGATTGCTAGGCTGTGTCGGCATTGCATCAATCAGAATTCACCATGAATTTCTATGAACAAAACATAACCATTTTCTCTGGTTCACCAACTAAGCCACTAAGCCATCTTTATGCTTTCTGCGACCTTCAACATCGGTGAGGTCGCAAAACTACCCCTTGTAACATGGCTACAATATGCCCAAAACAATTGCCGTGTCCGCGACTCAAAACGAACCACAGCGTCTTGCTGCGGAACCATCCCCCATGCAAAGCCCGACACGCGCCTTGGGACATTGAGCAATGTAAGGAGCCGAGATTGGCAGTTTGCGGTGGCAAGGCTTGTGGGTGTCTTTTTGCTTGGACCTCGTTGTTTGGTTTCAAAGGGAAATCAATGCAACACACACGATTCTGCGCGCTCCATGTCGGGACGAACCGATGCGCACTGCAAGTGCCAGGCGTCATACTCCACAGACGGGTACACCTGCACAATGTTGCCACGTCGTCCGCCTGGCTGACATATGAATGACTTACTCAGTCCGAATAACACCAAACAGCGTCCGAATAACACAGCAGGGCCTCAGGGCCTAGACATAAGACTATGGCCAAAGCTTGTGAATGCGCCATGTCTCACAGCTGAATGTTGATGTCCTTTGCAGCCCTGGTCGTTGTCTATGGCACTGATTCTCTTGAACAAACATGTGATACCAGATTGCGGTAAGTGATCCAAACAACGGACAACACATGTTGGAGCCTTTGGGAGTAATTCAGGCCACGCAATTTGCACCGATGCTGCAATGTCTCACTCCTTTCCCGGTCTCACTGAGCCCGTCAAGAAAGCGATGAACCATGCCGCAGCTTCGTACGTTGTAATTGACGATGCGCTGCGTCTGCGCGTTCTGCGGCCGCTCCATAACCTCATTCAGGACAAAGCTGAGCAAATCGCAGTACCTTCTGATATAGAAGGAACACAACTGCAAAACGGCCAACTGCCAGTGCGAACTATTGAACCCACATGCCAAAATGAGAGGCACAACTACCAAACCAACTGCAGTGGGTTCAAGACAAGTTGATTGCTTGACCACTTGCCACAGGCCATACCGCAGGCACACATGTGAATTCCAAGACGTTGAAACTGATCGAACCAGGCCCACCTTGTTGGCATTCTTTTGACAGCGACGAGCCCCAATCAAATCGATCTGATCAATACAATCCCAACCCCCCCCCTCACCTAAGCACTCCTTGTGATTTCCCAGAAGCTCCCTCCAAGGCTTATAGAGGTCTTAACCACTCCAGCACCTGGTGCGGCGCATGTTCCCTTTCTCTTTTTTGGGGAGTGCGACGCTTTTTCTTTTCCTTTTTTTTTCCCGAGTCCGAGTGGCGATGAAGGAGTGGGTGCGGTCCTCGAAGGTGCGGCCGAACTGGTTGGTGTTCACTTGGAGCTGCAGAAGCCCTCGGGGTTTTGTTTTTGTTTTCCCCATGCGATTCGATTGGAATGGGACCCAGGGATCCCCAAACTCAAGGGCAACATCTGTTGGCGCGAGCGAAGAAGACGAAACGGGGAACACCCCCAAACATGCTATAGGGGATGGGCCGTTTCGGGTGGAGGCTAAAGCTCCACTTCCCAAGACGGAGCTGTGCTGCATCTTTGGGTCTCTTCGCTGCGCACAGCGGTTGGCTGTATCGGAAGAAAGAACTTACCCTTGCCGCGGTTCATCTTTAGCAGTGGCGTACACCACTGCACAGCTGGGTATAGAAGATCAAACAACTTGCTTCGAATACCAAAAGCTTTGTTATCACACGGCATCAAATTGAAGCGGGACCACCACTTCACTAGTGCGACCGGCGATGGGAGCTTGGCTCGCAGAGGGCTTGGCACGTCTTTCGGAGTATAAGTGTTTGCTTGCCGCAGCGTACAGTCCAAGCGTGCGGCCTCATTCTAAGCACATAACTCTTCATGTTCAGCAAACATAAATCAACTATGCTGAGAAATATACTTGGGCAAGAACCAAAGCCCCCCCCTCAAACAGGTTCTCAGAACCTTTTTAGAAGAGGTGGAAGGCACTGAACATCTGCCGTGGGGTAGGCGGGTCTTAATAAAGTATGTCGTTAAACTACGACAGCCATCGTACTTGGAATTGCAAGCGCCTTGTGTTCAAAGTGAGCAAATGGGGCCTTGGCTGAACCAACATGCCCTTGATTGCCCTTCACTAGATTCTACTCGGATTGACAGCGGCATCTGGCCAAGTTTCCGCTCCAAAGCAGAGGCATCCTCAAGGAATCTCAAAGTGGTTGTCTCAAAATATGAGAACCCTCCAAATGGGTGGTTTCGCTTTAGTTTACCTTTCAAACTACCCACCAAAGGGAACCTCACTTCGGCCAAGCAAAGTCCAAAGTTGTTGCTTGCCACTAAGATGGTCTTCTCAAGTAAAAAGTCCAACTCAGGAAGTGAGGAACCCTTGAACAAAAAAACAGAACCGCGCTGAGCTCATCTCCGCCGAGCTGCACTTCTCGCCCCCCAGGTTCAGCCAGTCCGCCACCGGATCTTGGGCCAAGGGCACCGGCACTTCTGGCCGGCCCTTGAAGATACTGCGCCGAACGGACGTGAACGGCTTGGGACGTCCGGGTCCCACGACCTCTCGTTGGTAGAAGGAAACCAACCAACAAACATCCCGAGAAACATAAACCTCCCTCTTGATTCATAGGGTGGGAGCACCGGATCTAAGGGGGGCTCAGACTTTCGGGAAACACGCGGAAGGGTCAAGATTGGCCATGGCTTGGGAAGCGATATATGAGAATGAGTGATGGAGTGGCTGTGCCATAGGGAAAACGGCGAGGCGCAGGAGGTGCAGAGGTGGGGTCCCGAAACTCTGCCTATGTTGTCCTTCTGGGTATGTTGGGGATATGTTGCGCATGTCCAAACATGACCCCTGCAGGATGGCTTTTAAAAAGGGCAATCAACAGGAAACAAACCCAGTCTAGTGGGTGTCTGGTCATAGCAGCCACTCACGTGGGCATGCTCGCAAATCCTCGCAAAACACGGGCATTTTGCAGGGTGCTATTCAAGACTGTAACTCTTGCCTGTGCACGTTCAGGGCTGCCCACCCCTTCCTACCCGGCCATGGCGTTGTAACAGTTCGAAGGCCTAGTTGCAGAATGTCCAAAAGTCTGTTCTTTGGCTCCTTTGGTGGGGGCTTCTTCCGGTGCCTCGTCCGTCCATGCATCTGACCAGCCCAGCCTCCCCCCACCCCAGGTTCGTTGCCCTATCCCCTCCTGCGGCGGCGAGTGTTGGGATTGGGGTCATTGAAGCGCTTGTCCATGAAAAAGGAGTCCGCAAGCTCCCCTGCCCGCGCTCGACCGGGAAACCCCCGTCTGTGATTCAGCAACCGTCGGGTGGGGGTTTGGGGGTTTCTCCGGGAGGGGTTGGCGGCAGGCAAATTACAATAGATCCCCGAAAGCGAGTATCATTCATATGCGCAACGGGTGTGGATCCATTGCTCACGCGCACACATTGCTATACAGGTTGTAAAACAAATGTGCAGATCCGTAGGCAAGGACCTTGACAGCGGTTCTCATATCGCAAAAGGCAGATCCTTCCCTTCAGAATGCCTTCGTGCTACCCAACCCTATCCACTGGTTGCAGTCTCCTAAGATGAAACATGTATCCTTGCTCCGATGTCAAGTTTGTCCATCTGCTGTAGTGGTGGCGGCTAGTGGTCTCAAAGCTCTGGAGCAAGCCGAGCGGGTGTGATTTTCTCATTCGGGCAATTGCTTACATATATGGGCAGGTCTTTTTAGGGGAATCCCCACATAGGGTGGTTTTCCTTTTGGCTTCCCTTTTAACACCATTCAAAAAGGGGTACCCTCAAAAAGAAAGAAACCCATGTACATCTACCCACAATTTGCGTCGGGTTTCCCAATCTTAATTCAGAGACTGGTGAGGCCGCACACCCAGGGCTCACTGGCAGTTCAGCAGTCCCCAAGAGAGCGGCCAGTCTCCAAATAATGTCAACCTAATCCGGAGAACCGCACTAATCAGCCGTGGTTCCCCTTTTGTAAGGGTGGTTCCCGCAGCTAAAGCCAAAGCGAAAAATATTGTTCAAACACATCACAAGTTGCTCCCATCCTACATCGGCCAGCAACACAAACATGAAAGCGTCAAAGCGCGGCCCCCCATCCGCCTTCACAACGGTCACCACAACGGCCAAATCTGGGTATCACACATGTAGCACGGAACAACACAAACAGACATCTGTCCGTTCGCGGCGGCCTCCAGCAAATCAAACGTAACGTGTCTATCCATCGATTTATCTATCTATCTATCTACATAAAGCTCATCTATATACGAGCGAACAAAGCAACTTCGTCTGGGAAGTGGAGATTGGTGATTTGGGGCGCCCCTATTAAACATCAGCATTTCGCATACGCATCCCCCATATCCAGACGTAGGAATCCTTGGGTCGGAATAAATTTGGGTGTCTTTTTTAGAGGTCCCCAAACATTTTGTTCATTTTGGTTTCCTTTCAAAAGCCACAATAAAAAGAAGGCATCCCCCCCAAAAAGAAAGACTCACTTGGAAGCTCCAGCTCGGAATTCACAACTTTTCCGTACAAGTGCCGCACACTTTGGTAGCTCCAGCTTGAAAATCACTTTTTGAATCACAATTTCTCAATACAAGTGAAGTACACAAAGTACACGTTGGCCAAATGGGCACCTAAAGCTGCAAGCAAAGATCAATCAAACGTCAATGGATGGGCCACTGTCCACGCGGGACTAGTACGGGTATCGGCCACCCTATTGATTGGTACCGGTTGGGTTGTCGGTTGGATAATGGGTGCACTTTAGAGCAAATACTACTCCTTCCAAACTACTTTTGGACTCTTGTGATATTGGGCTTCTCTCCAAAGGCTGCCCTTTCAATAGGACATGAATCTTCAGTTCTTTCCAGACATATATGTGTCACAAAGTTATGAAGGTATCGAATTCCGAGAGCACGTGCATGATTCCGAGTGTTGAAGACACAGCTATGTCCTGTCTCCATATAGTCTCGGGATTGATCGTTTTGTCGGGTACTTTTCATCGTATTATATTTACATATTCAGACAAGCAACACATAACAGGAACGACCAACAAAACAACACGATCAGGCGAGCCAAGCATGGCTCTAGGGTACCTTCCCCATTCTTGCTAGGGATCCTTCTTTCTAGAAAACCTCCGGAATCCGAAGGAAAACGGCTGGTGCCTGAAAAGTACGATGGTTGAAAAGCACGGGGAAGCAACTCTTTGGCCAACAAAAAGCAGGACCAAGCCCTGCGCCTGTGAGCTCGGCGCCCTCCTCCACGGGGTGCGCCAGCGAGCCGTACCGGAAGTCCCCGGTGGTGATGTTGTAGCGGATCCGCAGCACCGTCCGACCTCCATTTGGCGAATGCGTCTTGTGGACAAAAATCAACTGTGAGGCACGGTCGACACTACTTACTTGCGGCCGTTCGCTACTTAGTTTGAGAGTCCCCTATCGTTCTCCAGCGTTTCCATCCTTTTCCAGGAGTATCGTTATTTTGAGAGTCCCCTATCGTTTGCCATGGCTTTGTACTTTTTGACCGTATCAATGAAACACCGAATACTAAACTCAACAGAAGTCACTTTGACGGTACTTAATGTGTTCAGTAGTCATAAGTTCCCTTTAAAGCCAACGGAGGAAAATCAAACAGATTCTTATAACCAAATGGAAGGTTGGCGATGAGAACACCCTCAGGGTCATCTTGCCTGTGGGCGCCTAAAGTGCTTTCCATTCGCTGAGAACTCAAACCCACCACAGGTGGCAGATTTGGGAATGTTCGCAAATCGCCGTCAGCATTACCTCCAACGTCCACCAAGCCACATACGCAGTACGGTCGCACTATGGCAATGATGGATCAGAACCTCTGTCTTCACAAAGACTGTCACATTTTTTGTGGAGGGGGGGAGGGAATTGCTGACAAGTGTAACATATCCCATCGAGGAGAAGCTAATTGAGGCTAAGCCCGCTCAATGAGTTGCACCTCACAGCCGAGACATGTCTTTAGGAATCGGACCCCAAAATGCTGGTTCTTCTTTTAGTTCCCCTTTAAGACCATCCCCCCCAACAAATGGGTACAAAACAAACACACACACACACACACTCCAATCCTTGCAGCCATCCTAACTCGTGGCTCTATCGGTGCGATGCGTCGGACATGCCGCCTTCGAGGTGATGGGGAATCTTCCAAAGGTAGTACTGCGGTTGGCCTCGGACTCCCAAACTCTGGTGACAAAATGCGGCGGATCCCCCAATTTTTGACCCACCTTTGGAGAAATCACCTTCAAAATCCCCGTTGAGTGGGGCAATTGTTGGGTTCAGAAGGATCCATGCAAAGATTGGGGGAAGTGTCCATCCAACCTCAGCAGAGCAACGTCCGAAGACATGGGCTGTATTAGCTAGCGGGGACCCACAAAATCGCAGTTGTCCTTTGGTTCCCCATTGAACAAACCTCAAAAGGGGTACCCTCCAAAAAACGAGCCATGCCCAAATAGGCAAAAGGCAGGGGCCCTCTTGCACCGTTGCAGAAACAGCTCTCGAGGTGACTCCATCCGCAGTTGTTTTTACCTCCCCTGCGCTCATTCTGTCACAGGCAGAAAGAAAACAGGGGTAGAGTGGCGTTTTACTGGGGCACTTCCCTTTGCGCTACACATCTGCCTGGTCATCAGCCAGCGGTCCACTCACGGGAAAAAAATAATAGCACTGATCAGACTCTCGAGGCTCTTATCACAGGTGGCCCTTCCATGCCAAAGCCCCCGCCCCATGGCATCACTCTCAGCAGGGCGGCCGTTGCGGATGTTGCCGTTGTGGTTGTCCCGACTCTGCAGTCCGCCAATGCAGTCCGGTGGCGGCTCGGACCAGGACTTGGTCTCCGTCCACCTGAGATCCGCTTCGTGGGAAAACCATCGAACGTTGCGGGAAATTTGGTCGTGGGACATCTGAATTGGTGAACCCCTGATAAACTACTGGAACGGTTGACCAAACCTCATTTGCTGCTCTGGGAGTCTACCCTGTGTCCGTTCCTAATGGTGACTCCGGATTGACAAGCCTGCAAATGCAACAGGGGTGGTTCGCCTCCATGAACGCGGTTATTTAAGCTTTCCTGCCATGAGTTCAAAAGAGGACCAAGGCACAATAGACCGATTGTGAAACCTCAGTCATAGTATGTCATGAGTACGTATGCAACTTGCAACTGTCTGCGCTGGGGACTGCCCCGTACTAAGCTTCAACTACCCTGATGTTGATTGTGCCTGCTCTACCCTGACCCTGAAGTGGAAAATGGCTCCAGTGCCAGGGAAGAACAAAAGTCAACCACGGGTGCAGATCTCGTATGCGTTCATCGCCAGGCACGGGCTGGTCGCATCAGTTGGGAATGCTGGAAATCACGGAGCAGTTGTTGAGCTGCTACCACAGAAGTCATCAAACGTGAGCAGCGCCCAGACCCATTCATGTCAGTCCTACCAAAATGGTTACAGATACAAATGTAGATCCTTCGACAATTCCTAGTAAGCCAGATAGCAGAACCACCAGATCAACGACAAGGGTTTTGGGCGTTGCCCCACAAAGCCATCAACTCAGGTGGCCCCAAGGAATATCATCGTAAGGGCCACCCATCTCAATTTGTTTGCCCAGCGTAAACCAACACTTTGACCATGTGATTGAGGTGCTAGAGATCAAGCCAGTCTATCATGCGTGTACCATGCTCAACACTCCTTATCCGGGCCATGGACACGGGTTCCTTGATAGGAGTCCTGATCATGCTAGTCTGATTCGCACTATTGCGGTCCGGGACCAACTTGCCCACACCTGACAAAGCTACACCAAACGCCAGCCAAGAAGCTGTCCGCCGTTGCTGCCGCAGGCGTCGGGGTTGTTGTAGGCAGCTTCAGAACAAATGCCCTTGGCCTCGTGAGACACGCGACTGGCGACCCTGCTTTCTGGGTCAACATTCAACCCTGAAGTTATGGACAAACAAAAAACTCTAAACAACAGCAGTATGAATGATGGGCCTACCATCACAATTCCAGCAAAGAACAGAATACAACATGTTACTAAATGAGTCATAATCAAAACCTTGTGTTCAAATGGACCTCTCTTACCAACATCTAGCCGGGTTCTGATCGTGGCTCAAATGATGATCATCCTTCGGGCTGACTCAAGAAAACGATATGCAATTCAATGACAATTATGGAAGGGGGGTCCAGAAAGGAAGGAAAGGGAAGGGGAACTGTGCAGGTGTTGGCTTCCATGTTGCCATCATGCCTGCTGTCTGCGCGCCACCAATATCCAAAACGATGGGTATTGCCAATTAAATAATCGACAGCAACTGAACTTCAATCTGAGCCGTTATATTCACCCAACATATTTTGTCGCTTGCAGTGGAACACTTGACATGCTGGGAATTGGGACGGCAATGTCTAGGAGTGCTGCGGGGGTCCCTCGATGTTCCCCACCAGGGAGTCGGGCAAAAAATAAGCCCTGCTTAAAGACCTTCGTCAACTGTTTCAATACTTCCAAACTCAGCATAAACATTGGAACCCAACAAACAGACATCCCCAGCAAACAAAAGGATCCCTAGAAAATGTTCACATGGAACCCAAAAAGGGGTGCCCCCTAGGAGGAGATGCCTGTATAAGCTTGTGGAAACCTACAGCCGAGACGAAAGTGGGGCCTAAGCTTGCAGGCCCTATTAAGTCAAAGGACCTTGACGTTCTGCGACTCCTGCTTGTAGTACTCGCAGCGTACTTCTGGCTCGTTGGTCAGGATGGCGATATCGTGCCAGGGCGAAGGGTGCCAGTAGGGGTAATAGTCCCTCTCCTGGTGTGAGGCCCCTTCAAAGCCGCCCAAACTTACAAAAAGGATGTCATGTGCTGGACAACAACATTATAGGGACATTGTTCAAATGCCTGGTGTCTTGATATCTTATGGCATCTTTGAAGAGGAGCTCCCTGAAAAGAAGTCCCCCAACTTGTCCCGTTGTTCAGTGACAATGGTAAAAAAGACCATTTTGGGGTTTTGAGAGTTGACTGGCCAAAATATGTCCAAACTGCTTGTTTACCACCGAAATGGTCTTCCAAAAAACGTGACTAAAGCCCATGCCATTGAGCAGCCTCTGCCTCTGCATTTGCGATATTTCCGCATCTGGCCACGGAAAACGTGCGCGTGCGTGCATTCCAAAAAGAAAATCAATCAAAACAGCTCAGAAAGCAGCAGGGGCAAAACTCGCCGGCCTTCACGGCTGTCCAAATCAAATCTCCTCTCTCTAAGCCTCCAAAAAAGGGTCGGACACGTCAATAAAACGCTTCCCCCTTGTGCAAGGTCGCAACAAAAACAAATAACACAACGCCCAGAACTACCTGCCCGGCGTTCGTGTCCTCCGGACACTCCAAGCCGTTGCGTTGATTGCCCCTGCGCCGGCCGTTGCCGTTGGGGTTCTGCCTGGTGCTGGTGGCGCCACCATTTTCCTCCATCTGCCTCGACAGCCATTGGAGCTGCAAGGAAACTTGGGGACTGAAAATCAAACAAGTGCACTCTTGCATCTTGCAAATAGAAACATGAGTATCATACAGGCATAGCACAAGTCGTGAATATATCAAGCATCAAGATGGTGAAAGCTATCCTGATGCCGTTACTCGTGGATGAGGAAAGCACTGGGCAGGATGCCAACTAGGCATCAGGACCCATCATGACATGCACAGCTCTCAATGCTGCCTGCAAACAAAACGTGCATCTCAATGCAATCCAAATGCTCTGGCATACTGACATAACATGAGAGCGTCATACTCAAGTGAATCAGTGAGACACCACTCAGAAGCCAAACCCTTCGAACATGCAACTCGACTTTGCCCACCCAAGACATCGCACGTGTGCAAAGGCTGGTGCTCCACAAAACCAAAGCACACATACACAAATACCCTACACTGTACGCAAGCGTGCAGCACAGCCCGAAACCTTAGGAGACGTAAGAAGCCCCCAAGATTCAACACATTGCCGCGAACACAGCTTTTCATGTGGCTTGGGTTGGTAGCCGGGGAGTTCACCTGCGGTTCCTTGCGTTCGAGCATCCGGTCGGCAGTGTAGAGACCCTTGTTGCGCTCGCGCTGAGCGCATGCCTGCGGTTTTTGAGCAGTTAAATTAATGGTGGAGGATTGCGCTCGGAAAGTGAATATGAAACCACTAGCCGAAAAAACAAATTTGTACATACTACTGGTGATTGTTTCACAGTCATCAAATGTTGACAGCTGACACCATATGCACAACGGCCCAATAAAGGGAACCATATATATATATATATTATACATACAAACGCATATGCTACCGGCTTCTTTTCGGTGCCCTCGATTCATTTTTGGGTGCTATGATCCATTTTGAAAACAAGGGCACTTAGTCCTAAATCAAAGAGGCCACTTAAGCCATTTAAAGGGCACTTAGACCCTCAGGGTTGCCGCCCCCAGCAGATCCCTCCTCAGTCCCTCACAACGCCATGTTCGTGCTTCGGGGTTGGCCCCAATCAAATGTGGCAGTTGTCACACTTCGACACGGGTAGCTGATCGATTTCAGCAGAATCCCAACCCCTATCAATCCAAAAAGGGCACTTAGCAAGCGAATCAAAGGGTCACTTAGGCCACCGACACGCCCTTAAGTGCCCTCGATTCAAAAACACGTCAAGTGCCCTTCATTGGAGGGCACTAAAAATATGCTGGTATGTCAGTTTTCCTTTGCGGTTTCTCTTTAGAACCAACCACAAGGGGGGGTTCCAAAAAAGCACACCCTCCTGGTTGTCCCAAACATAGGGAACCCCAAAATGGATGGCTCGCCCTCGATTCCCCTTGAAAACCACCCGAAAAAAGCTGCTTCAACACCTAACATGCGACGGGTTTCTTGGGAGCTGCGGCCTGATAGAAGTCCAAGGGCTCGTGGTAGCCCCGCGCGGGCTCCGCGGTGCCCTCCGCCGTGGGGTCGTTACCGTCCCCTCCAGCAGTGTCCTGGCCTGGAGGGGGGGGAGGGACACTTCGGGTCTGTGTTGCAGCCTCCTTCATTTGGGGTACTGGTATTAGGGTTTGAGTCGGGGGGGAGGGGCTTGGGCATCTACCTTCACCCTTGGTGTAAAATGGCTCCCTCCACCCCAACTTGATCCCTTGAGCTCCCGCCTGTGCCATCGCGGAGGTTGGCATTCTCGGATTCACCTCAAAACTGCTCAGGCCAACGTGCCTAATGGGTGGGTGGATGGGTGGATGGATGGATGGATGATGGATGGAAGCATGGAAGCATGGATGGATTAATAGAATGGATGGAACGGAGGGAGTGAGGAAGCGAGGGAGGGAGCGAGGGAGGGAGGGAGGGAGGGATCACGGGTGGGTGGATTGATGGATGGAGGGATTTGGGGTGGGCGCACGGGTGGGTGGATGGGTGGATGGAGCGTTTCCCTCGACCTTGCTTCAAAGCGAAAAAAACACGGAAAACCACGGGGGGTCCCCCTTTGGCACATATCTACACCAGTCATTGTGAAATAATAATCCAACAGCCTTTCTCCACAATATGATGGAGAATTGGGACACTGGGTTTGTTTCCTGATGACCCATCAGGGTGAATCAAAACAAGATCTCTGAGCTGCAATACGATATACACCGAACCCCGGGAAAGGCCCCAACTCGGTCGACCAAATCCGATTTTGAGCCCTGCCCAAAACCCATTGACTTGTTGGTTCTACGAGTACCACATATTGGATTCTAGAGGCTTTACCATGGTCCGCATGAGAACTAGCTGGGCGTGTCTGTTTTCAGGGGTCCGCCAAAACATGGATTTCAGTTTTCCGCCCTTTAAAAAAAACACAAAAAACGCCCTACTACAAATTGGCCCGCAATCGGTTGTGAAAGCTGCTCAATGGATGCTGCGAGGGGCTCATGTACTGCAGGATGATCTGGCACTTCAGGTTGGGATGGCCAACGCCACACCCGTGCCTCTGCTCGGCGATTCAGAGAAATGGTGATTCAACCTGTACACTTGTAGAAATAAATATAATAACAATTTGAACACGAATAGTAGCATTGTGAGACAAACCCCTCTGGTTTGAACAACTTGTTGGAGTGCGTTGAACGGGGACAAGGGTCTGACTGTTTCGGCAACTCCGCAAATGGAAGATATAAGCCGAAAGGTCCCAGCTGCAAATTAACAAGGAACCCAACAAATGGGGTCCCTCGAGACTTTTCCTCTGGAAATAATGGCTTGTCCGGTTCCATCTTCTTCTAGAGGGGAGCAAAACACACGAAGGCCCCATGCAGCGTTCAGCCTATCTCCGCAAAGTTGCTGATGGTGCCACTCAATGTAGAGCTCGGATCCTTGCGTGGTACACCGCAAAACACACCTCACAGCTCCAAGGTACAAGAAGGCTTCAAGCAGAATTCAACTTGGGTGTCTTTTTGTTGACGCTGCCCCTTTTCCGCGGCTTTCAAGGAACACCAAAAACCCTAAAAAGCACACACCCATTTGCTGGCCAACACAAAAGATGTTCTGCTGCTTCTGCTTTCTCGGCTGCCTTTGTGCTCGGAGCGTACCGGTCAATTGAGTTCTTCAAACCCCGGAACCGGGGCACAGAAATGCCAAGGCGGGTGTTTCCACGTCAAACTGACCTAGGACATCTTGTGACTTGATGGCCATGTAGATCGTCGGCCAAAGAAATGGTCATGTCTTTCGCAAAGGCTTACTACTACAGTTGATGGACAAAGTCCTGCACCAGTATGCAGGCGGCTTATCCCGGTTTTCATAGGATCTCATCCATCCACAGTATGCCACCTTCGACCTGCCTTTCACAAAGGGGCTATGCAACAAACATGTCAATTCAACTTTGGCAATCTATATATTATATGTGAACCCTGGCAGAATTAATTGGCAAGAAACAAGAACATCCATCCCCCATTAGCTCGGACGAACCGGCCCATGAGAATACCCTCCAAGCAGCAAGCAGGCATGAAACTGAGTAGGGACTTGTCGAATTATTGATCACACCCTTCTCTCTCTGCCCTGCCTTGGTAGAACTTCATGGTTCCTTTGGTCGCACCTTCTTTGGTGACGTCATAGTTGTTATTTCCGTCCTGCCACACCCAAAATTGATGGGCTCAAGCACAATCGCCAACTTCAAACTTGGGGACAGGCCAAGCATGAGGACACACAAAGCAGCTGAGGAAAAAAGGCAAACATCAGTGAATCATCAGTGGCCAGGAGATCCTTTTCAGTCCGCAACTGACAATCCTGCTTCTTGTTGACAAAAATGCAAAGCCAAAACACAGCCACACACAGCGACACACAGACACACAGCGACACACAGACACACAGAGACACACAGACACACAGAGAAACGCAGAGACACGCGGAGACACGCAGAGACACGCAGAGACACGCGGAGACACGCAGACAGACAGAGACACACAGAGACACACAGAAACACACGCAGAGACACACACAGAAACACACACACAAACACACAGACACACACAGAGACACACAGAGACACACAGAAAGACACACAGAGACACACAGAGACACGCAGAGACACGCAGACAGACAGAGACACACAGAGACACACAGAACAAACACACACAGAGACACACAGAGACACAGAGAGAGACACACAGAGACACACAGAGACACGCAGAGACACGCAGACAGACAGAGACACACAGACAGACAGAGACACACAGAGACACACAGAAACACACGCAGAGACACACACAGAGACACACACAAACACACAGACACACACAGAGACACACAGAGACACACAGAGAGACACACAGAGACACACAGAGACACGCAGAGACACGCAGAGACACGCAGAGACACACAGAGACACGTAGAGACACGCAGAGACACGCAGAGACACGCGGAGACACGCAGACAGACAGAGACACACAGAGACACACAGAAACACACGCACAGACACACACAGAGACACACACAACACACACAGACACACACAGAGACACACAGAGACACACAGAGAGACACACAGAGAGACACACAGAGAGACACACAGAGAGACACAGAGAGACACACAGAGACACACAGAGACACACACAGAGACACGCAGAGACACGCAGAGACACGTAGAGACACACAGAGACACGCAGAGACACGCAGAGACACGCAGAGACACGTAGAGACACGCAGAGACAAGCAGAGACACGCAGACAGACAGAGACACACAGAGACACACAGAGACACACAGAGACACACAGAAACACACGCAGAGACACACACAGAGACACACACACAAACACACAGACACACACAGAGACACACAGAGACACACAGAGAGACACACAGAGACACACAGAGACACGCAGAGACACGCAGACAGACAGAGACACACAGAGACACACAGAGACACACAGAAACACACGCAGAGACACACACACACAGAGACACACACAAACACACAGAGACACACAGAGACACACAGAGACACACAGAGAGACACACAGAGACACACAGAGACACGCAGAGACACGCAGACAGACAGAGACACACAGAGACACACAGAGACACACAGAAACACACGCAGAGACACACACACACAGAGACACACACAAACACACAGAGAGACACACAGAGACACACACAGAGACACACAGAGACACACAGAGACACGCAGAGACACGCAGACAGACAGAGACACACAGAGACACACAGAAACACACGCAGAGACACACACAGAGACACACACACACAAACACACAGACACACACAAAGACACACAGAGACACACAGAGAGACACACAGAGACACACAGAGACACGCAGAGACACGCAGAGACACGCAGAGACACACAGAGACACGTAGAGACACGCAGAGACACGCAGAGACACGCGGAGACACGCAGACAGACAGAGACACACAGAGACACACAGAAACACACGCAGAGACACACACAGAGAACCACACAAACACACAGACACACACAGAGACACACAGAGAGACACACAGAGAGACACACAGAGAGACACACAGAGAGACACACAGAGAGACACAGAGAGACACAGAGAGACACACAGAGACACACACAGAGACACACACAGACACAAAGAGACACAGAGAGACACAGAGAGACACACAGAGACACACACAGAGACACACGCAGAGACACAGAGACACACAGAGACACGCAGAGACACACAGAGACACACAGAGACACACAGAGACACGCAGAGACACGCAGAGACACGCAGAGACACGCAGAGACACGTAGAGACACGCAGAGACACGCAGAGACACGCGGAGACACGCAACAGAGACACACAGAAACACACGCAGAGACACGCACAGAGACACACAGAAACACACAGACACACACAGAGACACACAGAGACACACAGAGAGACACACAGAGAGACATAGAGACACACAGAGACACACAGAGACACAGAGAGACACAGAGACACACAGAGACACACACAGACACACAGACAGACACAGACAGACACACACACAGACACACACAGACACACACAGACACAGACACAGACACACACACAGACACACACACACACAGACAGACACACACACAGACACAGACACAGACACAGACAGACAGACACACACACACAGACACAGACACAGACACAGACACAGACACAGACACAGACACAGACACAGACACAGACACAGACACAGACACAGACACAGACACAGACCCAGACCCAGACCCGGACCCGGACACGGACACGGACACGGACACGGACACGGACACGGACACGGACACGGGCACCGGCACCGGCACAGAGGCACAGAGGCACAGAGGCACAGAGGCACAGAGGCACAGAGGCACAGAGGCACAGAGGCACAGAGGCACAGAGGCACAGAGGCACAGAGGCACAGAGGCACAGAGGCACAGAGGCACAGAGGCACAGAGGCACAGAGGCACAGAGACACAGAGGCACAGAGACACAGAGACACAGAGACACAGAGACACAGAGACACAGAGACACAGAGACACAGAGACACAGAGACACAGAGACACAGAGACACAGAGACACACAGACACACAGACACACAGACACACAGACACACAGACACACAGAGACACACAGAGACACACAGAGACACACAGAGACACACAGAGACACACAGAGACACACAGAGACACAGAGACACACAGAGACACACAGAGACACACAGAGACACACAGAGACACACAGAGACACACAGAGACACACAGAGACACACAGAGACACACAGAGACACACAGAGACACACAGAGACACACAGAGACACACAGAGACACACAGAGACACACAGAGACACACAGAGACACACAGAGACACACAGAGACACACAGAGACACACAGAGACACACAGAGACACACAGAGACACACAGAGACACACAGAGACACACAGAGACACACAGAGACACACAGAGACACACAGAGACACACAGAGACACACAGAGACACACATAGACACACAGAGACACACAGAGACACACAGAGACACACAGAGACACACAGAGACACACAGAGACACACAGAGACACACAGAGACACACAGAGACACACAGAGACACACAGAGACACACAGAGAGACACAGAGAGACACAGAGAGACACAGAGAGACACAGAGAGACACAGAGAGACACAGAGAGACACAGAGAGACACAGAGAGACACAGAGAGACACAGAGACACAGAGAGACAGAGAGACACAGAGAGACACAGAGAGACACAGAGAGACACAGAGAGACACAGAGAGACACAGAGAGAGACACACAGAGACACACAGAGACACACAGAGACACACAGAGACACAGAGAGACACAGAGAGACACAGAGAGACACAGAGAGACACAGAGAGACACAGAGAGACACAGAGAGACACAGAGAGACACAGAGAGACACAGAGAGACACAGAGAGACACAGAGAGACACAGAGAGACACAGAGAGACACAGAGAGACACAGAGAGACACAGAGAGACACAGAGAGACACAGAGAGACACAGAGAGACACAGAGAGACACAGAGAGACACAGAGAGACACACAGAGACACACAGAGACACACAGAGACACACAGAGACACACAGAGACACACAGAGACACACAGAGACACACAGAGACACACAGAGACACACAGAGACACACAGAGACACACAGAGACACACAGAGACACACAGAGACACACAGAGACACACAGACACACACAGACACACACACAGACACACACAGACACACACAGACACACACAGACACACACAGACACACACAGACACACACAGACACACACAGACACACACAGACACACACAGACACACAGACACACAGACACACAGACACACAGACACACAGACACACAGACACACACAGACACACACAGACACACACACAGACACACACAGACACACACAGACACACACAGACACACACAGACACACACAGACACACACAGACACACACAGACACACACAGACACACACAGACACACACAGACACACACAGACACACACAGACACACACAGACACACACAGACACACACAGACACACACAGACACACACAGACACACACAGACACACACAGACACACACAGACACACACAGACACACACAGACACACACAGACACACACAGACACACACAGACACACAGACACACACAGACACACACAGACACACACAGACACACACAGACACACACAGACACACACAGACACACACAGACACACACAGACACACACAGACACACACAGACACACACAGACACACACAGACACACACAGACACACACAGACACACACAGACACACACAGACACACACAGACACACACAGACACACACAGACACACACAGACACACACAGACACACACAGACACACACAGACACACACAGACACACACAGACACACACAGACACACACAGACACACACAGACACACACAGACACACACAGACACACACAGACACACACAGACACACACAGACACACAGACACACACAGACACACACAGACACACACAGACACACACAGACACACACAGACACACACAGACACACACAGACACACACAGACACACACAGACACACACAGACACACACAGACACACACAGAGACACACAGAGACACAGAGACACAGAGAGACACAGAGACACAGAGACACAGAGACACAGAGACACAGAGACACAGAGACACAGAGACACAGAGACACAGAGACACAGAGACACAGAGACACAGAGACACAGAGACACAGAGACACAGAGACACACACACACACACACATTGCTTTCGCATCGGAACCGAAACCCACTCAGTACAACTTGCTCGCATCTAGCGAGGTGCTCGGAGGAGCAGCTTCCGCTTCATTGCTACATGTTTGTGTCACTTGCATTTTGACACTCGAATTAAACTGGCTCAACATCAGCCACACATCTCAGCCAGTGAAGGTTGCCAATCTGCTTTCTGTGGTTCCTGGAAGCAGAAAGATGCCGGCCCTGATGCCCGTGCATACCCAACACATACAATGCTTGCTCGGCCGACGACTTGTGGTCAGATTTCTTCTTCAATAGCTAGAACCACCCTCTACGTAAGATCACACTCACTTTCTGGGTGGATTGGCCAAATGACGAAGTCCGAACTTTTTGTTTGCAGCTAAAATGGTCTGCCCAAGAAAGTATAAAGTCCAGGAACTCAGGAAGCGAGCATACGTGAGATCACACATTGGCCCATCACAACTAAAAAATCACCAAGCGAGACAACAATGCTCGCCAAGTAGGCTTCTCTAAGGGGGCAAGGACTCCACAGGAGAGGTGTTCATCGATTTGCTTAACACACAAAGGGCAAACAAAGCAACGCGCACCGTGTTGCCCAACTTCATCAAGTGAACAAGGGGTACCCTCAAATGTGGACACGCCCACTACGGATCCTTGCATGCCGGCTTGCAGTCGTCACCAATCTGGTAGCCAGAGGCGGCGTTGTTCTGCGAGTCGAAAAGCCCTGTGCGTATGGCGTATGGCGCCTATAGAACCTAGTTGAGGGAGCTTCAACACGGGAGTTCTGATTTTGGATGCTGCCCTGTATGCCTCCATTTCAGGAGGTCACAAAAGAGCCCAACAAAGGCACCTCCTACCCCTTCCTGGACATTGCATCAGCTGCGCAAAAGAACACCTGGGCACTGCAAGCTGTGGGGCCCCGTCACTCCAAAAGGACCACCTGGCCCAATTACCTTCCCTCTTGGTTTGGTGGTTTGGTTTGCTGGTTTCCATTTTAGCGCGTGCTTCATTTACTCCCTACAAGAACCAGGGCTTCAAATCCCCAAATCCGAAGCAATGGAGACCTACCTGGCCATGGGTCAAAATCCCGCATCCCCAGTGAACATCCCAATCCCCACTATATGGACTAAAACTGGTGGTGCACCTACCCCAAAATGGTACCATTGGTCTTGACCCACAGCCACCTGATCCAAGGCACGGTTGGCATTCTGCACGTTGTTGCTCTGCTCCCGTAACTTGTTGTTGGAGCCCCGGGGATCTCGGTCCATTCCGCTCAGTCAGTCACCCTACCGGAGACCCAACCCCCCCCCCCATAAAAACCAAAGCGAAGGGATCAACCGCAAACACCCAGGAACAAATCTGGCCGTGTGTGAAAACGGGAAGCCCTTCTAGCCTGTTGATGTCCTGAAAAGAGAAAATCCCTGAAAAGGAAGCACGCACACAAATGCTCAGGTTGGCACTGTTCAGGTACATGTCTGCCCTGGCCAAGGCCAACATCAGCAGGATGCGAGCCTTGGGTTGCCCGCGAGGTCCTTGATAGCCCAGAGGGTCCAAATGTGTGTGGTGTTTTCAGGGTTCCCAATTCACCTTGGTTCAAAGGGAAACCAAAAGGCACATAATCATGGGTCCGCCTTGTTTGACACATACAAACCCTTTGAGGATGTGTTTTCGGGTGTTCAAAGGGAAGTACCGCACCTTACCTGACCCTTAGGGTAAGAGCCGTTGTGGAAAGTAACCCTTTCTGGAACACGCAAAGTGGAGCATCCCAACCTCAGGAAGCTTCTCGGAACTGATTTGAAGTGGAGTAATGTCTGTCCTTCGCTATGACCTTTTTAGTGGCCGAATAGACGAATTCATAGACCCAAGCCAGCAAACACCCAAAGGGTTCCTCTGCACCTTGCGGCTAATTGGGCTTCTACAAATAAGACATGTGGGCTTGGTTGAATCTCACTCGGTCCAAAAATAATGGGATTAATCTCAACGGAATCTTGAAGGTGTAAATGCAAAGCTGGCTGCTTGTCATGATGCAGCCGGAGACCAGTCCTCTGGTGAACCACATTGTGAATGATGGGCTGTATCTGCGCAAGTTGCAACACAATACACATCTGGAAATAAGGAATCCCCGAGGAGCCAGGGATGTTATTCATCATCAAGCTTGTGTTACCCCAGGTGAGCTAACAATAAGTTGTGCTAAGTAATCACCAAGCCGAACAAATGCAGACATGGTACCGCCATGGTAGCCATTGCAGAGCTCCGCTTTTGCGGTGCCTTTGTTTTGGAAGTGTGAGCTCGCGATTCTCAAACATGGGTAACTTGCTGAATGGGGGGTTCTCATGCAAGAGGCATTTGCGTAGGACATTGTCTTTGGTCTAAGCGATAGGGAGCCAAAGTTTGGCAGTGCTATGGCAATCCCAAGATAGGAACATCTAGGTAGTCAAATCCATAAAAGAAGCATCACATGACAATATTCTGAGCCAGCATCAAAGGCAAGCATCATGCAGGAGACGGGAATCTAATTCAAGCAACTCTCCGTCTCTCTCCCCCCCTCTGTCTATGGCAGGGCTGAACGTGCCTGAACAAAAATGTCTGTTGCCCAGCACAAGCAACACAACCAACTCACAAGGTGAAGCTCTTGCGGTGCAAAAAGGGCTCGCCTCACTTTTGCGGCCCTTCATGGTCCCTCCAAATGACCAGAGCTACAGATCAGTGCTTCACACGTGTTCACTGGTGTGCACCGCCACTCGAGGCCCATAGCACTAGCTTTGCCAGTACCTCAAGCCTCCGAGCCACAGCCCGCACCAGCACTCGTGGCTGGAGTGAGCGCTTGGATGGGCAGGAAGCAATCACTTATCACTTAGCCCCTAGGCGCATCAACTTCGCGATCGCATGGATATCTACGGATCCTGGAAAGAAACGGCATGGCAACTCCTTGGGCTGTTTAACACCAAAGATGGCCGCCTCAATCGTATCAATCGTACATTGCGGCTGTACCCTGGTATTGAACCGGGCTCGTTCAGCCACAACCTCTGAGAGCCATAAGCGCGAATGATCCAAGTCATGGCCAATGATCACTTTGACATCAGTCAACAGCCAGGACCCGGCGAATCGGTGGCGAAAAGGCGGCCAAACCAAACCTCTCAAATGGCGCTGTAGCCAACTGAGAGCTGTGGGTCGCCGATTTCATCGGCTCCCATCCCCAGGCCAAAAAGGCAAAGGGAGGAATTCACTGTGCAAGAAGCAAGCCAAGCAGGCAGGCCAATCGGCAACCTATAGGTGAAGTCGGCAAGTCTCTTCACAGACACTCCGAGAAATGCCTGGAAATGCGGCACGCATGGCTGTCACGACTAACCAGTGTTTACGGGCCAGTTTCAGAGGAAGCCCACTACGCAACCATACAAACACGTCACACCAACACCAAGAGAAACACAAAACGGTAGTCATTGATAGATAGCATTCTACCTGCCTGGCCAGGCTTCCTTTGGCGCGCCCAAACGGCCTCCAGGCCGTTTACCAAAAGCGCGTCTGTTCCAAAGAGCTCTCAGCGGTTTAGCTTGGCAGGTCAAGGGTCCGGGAGCAGGGCGTTCGCCACAATTTTCCATGTCGTTGATCAACGCTTGGCGGCAAGGGAGTTACTAGCAAATCGATGTTTGTTTGCACATCGCGATGGCCTGTGGCTCCAGGACCAAGCCTGAATCTGTACAACAAAACGGTTGGCCGCGGTAGGTGCGAGCAGTGACAATTCTCAGACCCGATGTGACCCAATGCAATGCCCGACGGCTCTGGCCGGACTCACCCATCAGCCTGCGCAAGAGCAAAGCATAATGTGAGAAGCCATGCCTGCGACGAGGCTGCGAGTTGGCAATCAGATATTGCCTTTGTTGAGTGCAACCTTTCAAGGTTCAGAAAAAGGTCCCGGATTTTGTCAACCGGTTGGACACCCGACTTGGGCAAGCTTCCAAACGTACTAACTGTACCGGACCAGTTCAATCACCACAAACTCACCCTTCCACTCGTTTTGGCTGCGCCCCGACGTTTGGGGCGGAGGGGATGATGTCAGCCCCACTCCCAAAGACCCCAGCCTTCAAAGTCTGTGCCATGTTTTGTTGGGCTATCGAGGGATTTGCGTTGGAAGTTTGCAGGGTCTCAGGTACACCAAACAACATCACGGTCCGGAGACTCTTGAAAAAGCAAAGGCACTTTGAGACGTAACACCGATTCAAGGTGGAAGAGTGTTGCCGTTTTGTCTTCAAGAGCCCTTCTCGATGGGCATGTATGATAGATATCATTTGGCGGGAGGACAATGTGATCATCCAATATGACAAGAGCGATTCCATAGAAGATGTCGGTGTTTAGGCCAGGGCTCCGACGTCTTTGCGGCACATCGCCAATACAGCCCTTGACAAACGTGGGGGATGCTGCTCTTGAGTTGGGACCCAAAAGGGCAACCATGTTGCCAACACGACAAAAAAGCTTGACATCTCACTAGGCCCAATAACAACTGGATGTCAGTCGGAAGTCAAAAGGCGAAAGCGTAGTCATGGAACATTCACGCTGATCCTACCCCCTAGCCCAGTCTACATGAACAAGTTGAAGTTTAGCCAGCAAAGGAAACGTTCTCCAGCTTCGGTGTTTCAAGGCAAACCGGCAAGCTAGCCTGAACGAAGTTGACAACCGCATGGGGTGCGTCCAAGCAGGGGAACCCTCCCGAAAAAGAAAAAAACAACTTTGAATGTTCTTTCCTTTTGAAACAACCTAAGACAAAAAGTCCCCCTCTGGGGTGGGAGCACCCCTTACCCTGAACAATCGCCTTTCCTGAGGGAACCTCTTCTGGCTTTCCTTCAGATTCCCTTCAACGCCAACCAATAGGCGGCCTCCCAAACAGGAATTCACCCTATAGCAATTGATGAGCCTGTGCTTGGCCACCTTGCAAGTCTCTCCCTCCGAAGCCAGGTGCTGTTGACTTCAGCCTCCGGATCTTGTCCAGCTTCATTTATTGGGTGGTAGGGTCCAAACGCTTGAAAGACCAAACCAAGTGTGAAACAAATCCAGGTCACTTGAAATACAAGACACAGATAATGATACAAGCTGCATGTAATTGTGAACTATATATTATATATATATATATATATTATAGAGCAATGCATCGTTCATGCATCTATCTGCATACAAACAAATACCTGGCTTGAAGCCCCGAACTTGCCTCTGCCCAACAAATTGTCTGAAAGAGCTCGGGGAATTGCATGGTACAACCCCACTATAGGGATGCCTCAAAAAAGACACCAATGCCCACAGACATGCCGGAGCCTCGACAGTACATGACAACTATCCTTGAGTGGAGACAATACACGGCACTACCCGGCTTTCCAGCATTGCTCTGCACAAACTACAAAAAACACCAACTGGGAATAGGGGTTCCCTGGCAAAGGATCCTTCATCATGGGTGAGCTCGTCCTACCAAGGTGACCTTGCTATAATCTCTGCACCCTCCACTCGACGCCGTGACCCTCACGCACGCCTGTTTGACAGGCTGCGAATTAGAAGTGCTCCTGGCAGGAACCGCCACTGGCCTTGCGTGTTGACGTTGCAAAGGAACACACATCACCAAAACAAAACGAAGCAAGTAGTGCTACTGGACAACTTGATCTTTCTGGCAGCACAAAACGTAAAGATCGAGTATCAGGCTTTGAGGATCCAAGCACGACCTATTTGACGCTGAGATCGTTGAAGTATGGTATTGCGTCGCCAAGAAGTGCTCTCCAATGCCCGCGGGACCTCTTCTGCAACAAAGCTCAAGATCTAAACAAAGCATGCCGACAGTTCCAAGACAAGAGTTCTGCTGAAGTTTGGACAGCCATTGAACATTGTATTGCGGCTGCCTCAGCGAGGCATCCACGAACATAATATCCTTACATGAGATTACAGGCGATGCTGAACAACGTCTGCCAAATGTTGTCAAAACAGTCCTGTTGGAGGACACCCTTCAGAGGCGGCAGGAAACGGCAGCAGGGTCCAAAACACGGTCTCTAGTTTTGACAACCTGCGCGGTGCAAGAAACATCAAAACTTTACAGGGTGAAAGTAGATGGCAAAATGCCCCTTTTGGCCCAACCCATTTCGTTTGAGCCATCCCCTTTACCACAAGAAGGGGAATGGCACGACAAATGCTCTGTTTGTGTTTCACATTTGGTCAAGCCAACAACAATATGGGTATAGGTCAAAGTCAAACCACGAGGGGACCGCAGGTTTCAGTCCTTGTTTCCGTTTACTAGGGTTCAATTTTGGGTACTTATTCTTGACCCACACCCCTATGTTCTGAGACCGAAGATTCGCTGTTTCTCCTTAAAGAAGGAGAAGCGCGTGGCCCCTGGAGTGCCAATCAGGTCCTCAGATGACCCAGTCAAACTCTGCAAAGAAATGGTTGGACCCCTGAGTGCTGGTTTCCGCTTGGTTTGCCTTTCAACACACCCTCAAGAAACGATACACCCACATGTCCTGGATCCCCTTGATGCATCAAGATTCCTGGCCCGTATGCACCCATCACTTCGAAAATGGTTCGGGGAACCACAAATGAATAAAGTTTGCTCCGAAGCGCTTGAGACTTCTTATGCTGACCTGATGGCAGACAGACCGGGCGTTTCCCGAGAAGCTACGGTTCTCCTGTAAACTGGCAACACGCTGTTTACACTCACAGCGGATGACAAATCCTAGCTTCTGGCCTGTAGGGGCCGCGAAGGAGAACCAACTTAACAGGAAACGACTATGGGTGAATCATAATTGCGTGACCCTACATGGGTTCTAGCAATTCTAGGATGCTACACATATGATCGCCCTGTGCTGCAAGTTTGGAAAATGTTGACTAGAATTCGTGAAACGTGCCCCTCACGCAATAATTCACACAATTGCAACAAGAACATTTCAAGGAAACTGCACTTCTCCTGTGGAAGGTAAGCCAGGCGAAGTTAATGCAAGTTAATCCAAAAGGTTCATGAGTGTCTCCTTGAGGGCTTGCTTTGTCTGGGCAGCTTTAGGCGGAAAACCAAAAGGCACCCTCCACTGTTTGTCTCTTTTACCCGAACCCAAGAAACATGTTTGAGTCCAGCTCATGCTTAGTGAACCGGTTCCATACTATACCACGACCCCGTGGCCGTGGAAACAAAAAAGGGCCCCTTTTTTGACAGCTAACCTCCAAAAGGATGTGGTTCACACTTCACAGCCCGGAAAACAGCAGGTTTTAGTCTACTTCTCCTGTACATTTACCAGGGTTCCAGTGGTTCAAAACTTCAGAGCCAGGGGGAC